TTTTTTTTTAAGAAAGCTAGATAGAGCTAAATTAACAATAATATGTTGAAAAGTAAAATTAGACTTCTCTATATCATTTCAATTTTATCGGATGTACTTGAAGGGATAAGTAAAATTAGATTTAATTACACTATTTTACCCATTATGGAGCTTCATTGAAATTGGTTAATTATGAACCCAATTGTACTATTAGTTTGATTTAGATAGCCAATTTGATATCTTTTTCCATAATGGTTTTTCTATACCTTTTGGTGGTTGTGATCTTCATAAACTAAAATGCACGCAATTTTTTTTTACCATTTTCTTCACCCAATTTGGCCAACCATCTACTGACCTACCACGACACCAACCAATCAACCATACCCGAGGCAAAACAATTATTCCAGAAAAAGAAAAACCTAAAATTTAATTGCATTACTACTAAAAATTCAGAATATACAGTGAAGATGCCGTTGTAGTTTGACTTAGGGAAGGAAAACATAGCTAGTGGTTAGGTGACTCACATTTTCGTATTTATCAATCATAATTGATCTTGTTTTACAGAACCCAGATCTTGATTTTTGTTTCCCAGTTCATATTTTTGCCATACAGTTCCATACCTTGTACAATTTTGAGCGCTCCGAACTGATTAGAGGTAAAAATTGAATCTTTTTCCCCTTGTAGTTTCATTTTAACATTGTACTTATCCGATCTTTGATCTTGAAGTTTGTTTGTTCAGTTGTGTTTGAGGATATCTTCACATTGTTAATGTTTAATTGTATACTATATCTCTTTAATTCCACTGTAGATTTGCAGCGTTTATTGTGTTTTGATTCCTATTGTTTGCAGTTGTTGTGTTGCTATCAAATTGCTAAATTGCGCTCTAGTTCACTTGGGAATCAAACATTTGTGTGTTTCTTTGTTGTAGTAGTGCTTTTTGTTTTGAATGTGGAGAACTTGCCTTCTGCATTCTTGGATCTGAAATCTAGCAATGCAAAAATTTACCTTTTTTTTTTTTTTGGGTTTTCAAAATCTTCTTCTCCAACCATAAGGGCTCCACGCCCTGGCCCGACTGAGTATGTGTGAGGATGTAAATCACGGTAACTCAGTGATAGGGCCAAATCCTGGGCCCACTGTGGGCATAATCCCGCGCTCATAGTTTTGAATCTTGGTATCTTCTCCCAACTATCTACTAAACCAGTGAACTAATAGGGTGTTTGGTAGGATGGAATTGCAATTCCATTTCTACCAAATTCCATGGTTTGGTTGGAAGGAATTACAATTCCATGGAATTGCAATTCGTAGGGGACCTAGGAATTGCAATTCCATGCTTTGTGGAATTGCAATTCCATTGTAAATTACCACTTTACCCTCATTATCATTATTATATTTATATTATATAAGGGCATTTTAATATTTATTCACTTCTTCCCTCTCAATTCCTCATCACCCTATTCCTTCCTACCAAACAATGTAATTTAAATTCTCACTTTATTCTTTTCCCACCGAATTACAATTCCTTTCCTCCCTAATTCCCTCCTTCCAACCAAACGCCCTGTAAGTCCGTGAGATTGGTTTTTCAAAAGCTTATATTACTAAGTTGTGCTTTTTTAATTACTAAAAATATTACATGTTTGAACTTTGTCAGTTTCATTTTTGGTAATATGCAGTATTCCTGTAAAAATTGAATCTTTATTATAGCCTTTATAGAGGGCAGATGGTTTTCTTCATCCATTACAGTTAACTAAAGCAATATTTGATCTTTTTGTTTCCTTTGCTTCATCAACCTTATTGTGTATAACTTGTGTTGTTAGATTTGATGGTGACAAATAAAAAACTGAAATGGATTGATTAATTTGTTAAACCCCAATACTGTACAATTCTAATTATTTATAATTCTATCCATTCATATATTTACCACTGCATACTGGTTGTGCTTAGGTAGTTAGAAGATCTAATAACTATTTTATTTACGGATTAATTTTATCGGTTTTGATTCACCAACATTTGTTACAGACTTACAGTATTCAGGTTGTAACAGTGGTACTGATGTGCGAACTCGTAATGACCTTTATATATACTTTGGTTTATGATGCATACAAAAATTCTGAAGTGCTATGGGGAAAATTAGATCTTAAATAGTTTTAGATCCAAAAGCCTTTTTGCATTATATGAATTCTTCTCCAAAACCTTTTCCTGCATTATGTGAATTCTAAAATTCAAAATCTCTGGAACAGGAAAACAGTATGGCAACACCAACAAGAATTGGTCTGGCTGGCCTTGCTGTTATGGGGCAAAATCTTGCTCTTAACATAGCTGATAAAGGATTTCCTATATCCGTCTACAACCGAACCACTTCAAAAGTTGATGAGACTGTTGAGCGAGCTAAAGCAGAAGGGAACCTTCCTCTCTATGGTTTTCATGATCCCGAATCCTTTATTCGCTCTATTCAGAAGCCTCGTGTTGTGATTATTCTTGTTAAGGCGGGTGCCCCGGTTGATCAAACCATCAAAACTCTTTCCGCTTACATGGAGAAAGGAGACTGCATTATTGATGGTGGGAACGAATGGTATGAGAATACCGAGAGGAGGGAGAAAGAAGTGGCTGAATTGGGTCTGCTTTATCTCGGAATGGGAGTCTCGGGTGGCGAAGAAGGTGCTAGGCGTGGACCCTCACTGATGCCGGGAGGCTCTTTTGAGGCATACAAGTATATTGAAGACATCGTACTGAAAGTAGCCGCTCAAGTTCCCGACAGTGGCCCGTGTGTTACTTACATCGGCAGAGGAGGTTCTGGTAACTTTGTTAAGATGGTTCACAATGGGATTGAATACGGTGATATGCAGTTGATTGCTGAAGCTTATGATGTACTGAAATCTGTGGGGAAACTCTCTAACGATGAATTGCACAAAGTTTTCACAGATTGGAACCAAGGGGAGCTTCTTAGCTTTTTGATTGAAATCACAGCTGATATATTTGGAATCAAGGATGACAAGGCGGATGGGTATTTGGTAGACAAGGTTCTGGATAAAACGGGCATGAAGGGCACTGGCAAGTGGACTGTTCAGCAAGCTGCCGAGCTCTCAGTTGCAGCACCAACAATAGCTTCGTCACTGGATTCAAGATTCCTTAGTGGATTGAAGGACGAGAGGGTTCAAGCTGCCAAGGTCTTCAAATCTGCCGGGATTGGTGATATCCTTACCGACCAGGCTGTTGATAAGAAGCAGTTGATCGATGATGTGAGAAAGGCGCTGTATGCATCCAAAATATGTAGTTATGCCCAGGGAATGAACTTGCTTCGTGCAAAGAGCATTGAACAAGGGTGGGGCTTGAAGCTCGGGGAACTGGCTAGAATTTGGAAGGGTGGTTGCATTATCCGTGCTATATTTTTGGACCGTATCAAGAAAGCTTATGACAGGAACCCAGACCTCGCTAGCTTACTCGTGGATGAAGAGTTCGCAAAGGAGATAATTGAACGACAATCTGCTTGGCGAAGGGTTGTATGCCTCGCTATCAACTCTGGTATTAGCGTTCCCGGGATGTCTACAAGTTTAGCTTATTTTGACACTTACAGGAGGGAAAACCTCCCTGCCAACTTAGTCCAGGCTCAAAGGGATTACTTTGGTGCCCACACATACGAGAGGATTGACATGCCCGGGTCTTTCCATACCGAGTGGTTCAAGATTGCCAAACAGTCGAAAATTTGAATCTCTTCGGGGCCTACTTGTTGAACCGATGCTTTCATTACTCTACTGAATAAAGGTTTTTCTTGTGATTCAAAATACTAGATGCAGTCATATTATCATCTAGTTATGCAACATTTAGATGTAACCCTTTGAAATGTCCCGAAACATTTACGATTTATTGAAGTTTTTCACAATAAACCCCTTGTGGGTTTCTTGGTCCAGATTTGGCTTTCACTCTATGAAGCCTATTTCATCAGATGCATTAAACATAGGAATACATTTTATTCATTACACAAACACACAAAACAGATATATTTAATGCATTCTCCTGAGAGAGAAATCCTCAAACGACACAATACAAAACCATCTGCCAGAAGAATACATTCTAGCTTTGTAACTGTTATGGAATATAGAATATATATTTGATATATAGAATCCCTATAGATTAGGCAGTCTTAGGGATTTAGGAAGGTAGGGTATATGGAAACTTGTTTCCTATATGTAGTCTTCTGGTACCTATTTATAGGGCCTTGTATTCTCTATTCTATAAGACAGTTTGAGACAATATACGACAGAACATTAGAAACTCTCTCTCTTCACTTTCGTAACAGTAACATTGTGTTATGGTGAGCCGGTGGGGAATCTACATGTATCTCGGTGAGTGTATTTACTTGAGAATGGTGTGAAACAGTCCTTGCAGACACAAGTTTTCATTTGTTTTCTTTTTTCAGTTGTGTATTTCATCTTGGGGGATGAAAAAGACAACCATAATGAGATTTTCATGTGGACTTGCTAATAATGTTTACTGTTTGTAACTGTTGCTGAGTGGTTTCTTCACGGCTGTTCAATCCGCATGCTTTGTCTCCATTAGGCTGTGTCACCTGTAAGCAATAATTGAAGAGATAGAAGTCTTTTTCACCATGCTTGCTTTCCCAACATCATGACCTTAGATTTCATATCTGTGTTAGAATCTGTCTGGATGTTTTTAGTGATTATTCCTCTGCAATACTTTAGAATTTGTCTGAACACTTCTTGTGATTATGGAATCTGCTAATCACCGAAGAATGTATGGAAGAGATAGGTGATCGAGAAGTTAGAAACGACAATAGCATGCTGTCAGGATCAAACACTTACTCCCCGTCAAAAGTTTTAGCTAGTGAGGAACGTGCAACTTTATTTCTTTATATTCAAGCACGTTCCAAATCTAGACTTGGTGGCAAGGCCCTCTAGGCCTCCGCCTAACGCCCTAACACATGTTTATTTCTTGAGTTATAGCACCGATTTGAATAGAGATCTTCAAGATTGAACTGCCCAAAAGACTATAAACTCAGGTCACTATGGTTTTCTTTTTGATGTTTTTTTTTTTTTAATAACGTTTGCTAACGTGTTGTTCTCGCTTGTGTTGGAAGGTGAGGCAGCTGACCTACCTGCATATGCCTGGAAGAGGCTGGAAAGGAGAGTGGGTTACTAACTGCTTCAACGAACAACGGGCTGGAATGTCTTGAACATCTTCTTGCTAAAATTTGCGACTTTTCTTTGCCAACTCTGCAATTCTCTTATGAAAATTTACTCTTACACATTCTAAATATGCTGCATATGAAACTGATGACATCAAAAAACACGAGATTTTTGCACATGCAATGGTTAAACCGTGACATTTTATGAACTGTACTGACAGTGTTGGTTCGATTGCTTGATTCCACAGCATTTGAACTGGAGATTCAGCGGGATTTCTGTTCTGTTAATCCATGGACATCATCGACAGGTAAACAAAGCAATATTGAACTGCTTGGACAGGTGTTGGCATTTCTGAATTGTTACTTTTTTCTTAGAAATGATCTGCTTTGACCGTAAGAACTCTTTCCCCTATGTGCATCTTCTCTTACGAGTTTGCTGTTCTTACTAGCCTTAACCCCTTCTTCTTTCTGGTGTTTCTTGACTGAGTACTTCCCCGCGCCTTTCTCCTTGAGTTTCTCCTTTCCATGGCTTCTCTCCAAGCCTCTGCAGATTTCTTGATAACTCGGGCCCGAAGAGGCATCTGAAGCCATGGAATCATCGCTGTCGCCATGTTCAGTGCCTGCAACACCGCCGCCAAAATTCTTACCCCTCACCCTCTCTGAATCTCTATGATCGTCTTCATAGCCATCTTGATCGTCGTATCCTTGGCTGACTGAAGCAATATACATTGTCCACCCCGACTCGTTGCTGCTACACCCTTCTGCTCCTCCCGGGATGTCAGAAGGCTCCATCGTGAACAGAAAGGATCGATGATACCCTTTACCAGAAACTCACAGAAAACATGAAATCTTTACACCTAGCTAGGCTGATGCAGAAACTCTGGGAGACTTCCATGAATGGAACAAACCAACAAAGTCATTCTTCACATAAAACCTTATTGTTTTGCAGCCACCATAAATTCTCTGGCTTTTTTATTTGCAGCAGACAGCTAGAACAGAGAGGATAAACTAATCCTCCAAGAAATAACAAAAACCGGGTGTTTTTATTTCGGTTCTCCTCCCTTGCCCTTTTTTTTTTTTAATTTTTATTTGGACAACTTGGTTGCTGACTTGTTATACCTGAAATGGAGTCTTCTTTACTGACTCTGCCTACCTCATAAATACCCAGCTGCTTTAGATAGCCCCACTCCACTGTTGTCAAATAAGTAAATAACACAAATCACCAATGACCTTGAATGGCTTAATTGCATGAACCTTTAAAGTTTCTGTCTTTCTCATCCACTAAGACCTGCCTTTTGATGTGATACATGCAGGTGTTGGGTGGCAGCTTGGAGAGCCGAGTCCAGCATCCTTCCATCGAAACGTGGTGTTGACAGCTATGCTAGTAGAAAGAAATAAAGTTGCGCTTTCGCTACTAGCTATATAGCTTTTGGCGTAGTGGTAAGCGCTTGATCCTGACAATTGGTATCAGAGCAGCTTTTGGTGTAGTGGTAAGCGTTTGGTCCTGACAATTGGTATCGGAACAACTTTTGGCGTAGTGGTAAGCGTTTGATCCTAGCTGTGTTCTTTGGCAGCTTTTATGAGGTTAATTTGGATGAATGATTCAGGAAAGGCTATCCTGCTACTGTTATTCCACCCTATTTCTTGCAATTGTCTGTGTCATAGTAAGGCATGCATGTGTTTTTTGTGGTAAAAAACTTAGGATTTTCACTGTTGAGTTTCTCATTATACCATCACATATACAGTAACTGGACAGACATTTACACTTGTTGCAGAAAGTAGTTGAGGTAGATTTGAGATTACATTTGAAACATAAATGCAACTCAGTACTATTTCTTTCTTGTTTTTTTTTGTGTAGTTACCATCACCTTGGTTGTTGCAATGGGGACCTTTGCATGGTAGTGTTAATTTTAGGGTTTGGAGACCCCAAACTCGAGTGCCCCCACCAATTCTTTACCCTAGAGTCTCGGTGAAGGATGTAAGCACGGGATATGCCTCAACAACATTAGGCTCCCCAAAGCGCCCGCCCACTCGGTAGGATACAAATCCGAATACTCATATACTATTACTGTCAACAAAGCAAGTTACCAGCTTGGTTGACGTGAGTGTCCGTGCACTCTCGTCCCTTGAAAGAGGTCGGGAGTTCGAACTCTCTCTCGTATGGAAAAACCAATCTGGCCAGCACTTTGCCCCTTAATTGACTGGCCCGGTGAGGTGCCTCCTACAATTAGGGTCTGCTCAGGACACCTCGTGGTCTGACAAAAATGAAGCGGAAAACAACAGACTAGACTTTACCATTGAACAGTCATCCATGACACACAATGTTTAACACCAAAAAGGGATAAGTTTGAATTCATTTTCCTATCATTTTGGCAGTATTGACACTTAAATTTTTCTCCCCCACATTGGCATATTATTATCTGGTAAGACTGGACAAGAGAGGTTGCTTGCTTGCATGATTTTCTGCCTGTAAATGGTGGCCAAATCCTTTGTTTTGATTGTATCTTTAAAACTCTCTCTCTCCTGGGCTCCATCTGGGGATAATTCTTTGGAAGCTTTTTAAACAAATGGACAACAATTCCTTAGCTGGGGAGATTTTGATTAAACAACTATGTTTGTTTGCAGCCATGTGTTTCAGTATCTCAATTATGGCAATCAAACATCCTGTGCACTGATGTGGATGCATGACTTCCACTATATGTGTTTATATATATAAATACACACACATATATAAGGGCAGAATCCCATAAGAATCACCTATCCTGTGAGAACTGCGAACAAATCTCATCCGTCCATCTAAGATGATCAAAGGTTGAAAATTAAGGCCAGGTCATGTTTAGTAACATAATTAGCTTATCAGTCAATTTTGACTTATTTGACCACTATTAGCTGTTTGACTTGATTAAAAGACAATACAAGTGTTTGATTAATTAGCTTTTTTTTATAACTTATTGCTCTAAAACGCTAAAATTTAAAAAAATTGCTCAAAGTAGCTTTTTCGATAAGCTTTTTGAGACAACTAATTTACCAAACATCTTTCTACAATCAGGTAATGCTATCAATTAGTCAAACCCGCTAATCCAATCAACTAACAACTATTTACCAAACACCCCCTAAGGAAAAAATGTGTTAGCATTTCTATAATTATGATTGTGTATCTTGTAATGCTTAATTTTGCATCCGCGGGTAACTGATTGTGCATCTGGAAACATTCTCCAAACACGCTGTCAAGTATTTTCCTAAAAACTGTGTTGGCATTTCTTTAATTACTGATTGCGTAGATGCATGATTGTGCATTCACGAATAACTGATTGTGCATTTTCAAACTTTTATCCAACTTCATTGTCAATTATTTTCCAAATACACAACTTTAATTACAAAAATGTCAGATTATCTTTAGATGGATAGATGAGATTAGTTCTCACATTCTCGTCAGAGGGTAGTTCTCATTTGATCTCAATCATATATATATATGGATAGATAGATCTTTTTCATTCAAACATACATGTGGCAGGCTTGGTGACAAATCATCATTATCATTAATTAAATCCTAAAATTCCCAGAATACAGTGAGCTGGGAAAATTGTTTTTTCTCCCTTGCAGAAACAGACAAGAGCAAGCAGGTTGAGCTAAAACACTCCAAAACTGGAGATGATGGAAGTCTCTTCAATTCATCCTAATTCCTACTACCCTTTTGGCCATGGCATTGTTTGTCCAAACTCTATCCCATAAATGATTAACAGTGACAGATGTGTGAGGGGCAGTTAGCTAGGAATATATACATATATATATATATATATATATATATATATATATGGATGGATTTTGTTGTTTAAGTTTGAGGTGTGATTGGAGCAAGCAGAGTTTAGGATGACAAAAACTGTATGTGTTGTTGAAGGGTGTTTTTCTAGGATTGTAGTTGGGGTGTCATCTGTCATGGCTTACTATATTGAGGGTGACACAGAATAAGTGTGGAGGTTCATGGTGGGATTGAAATTGGATGCTTTTATCTGCATCATTTTCAATCATTGTTCATGTATATATGTATATATATGTTATACCCACAGCTGGATATTCTCCTAACAGCTGATGCCAAACATGACACACCACCACACAAGAGAATAAACCAGCCTGTGCATGGCTGCTTTGCCATGTTGTTTGGCACAACTCCACCAACAACTTTATTAGCCAACAACTCGATACCCGCACTGGTAGATTGAGTCTTGGCAGCCGCAGTATGGTTAGACGACGTGACAATTCGTGTATACGGGTTCGTTAACGAGTTGACATAATAACGACACGAACAACACGACACCTTAAGGTTAACGGGTTCAAATTTTTAACACGAACACGATTTGTTAACAAGTTAAACGGGTTGACACGATAGACATGTTTTGTTAACAGGTTTCGGATTGTGTCGACACGATATGACACGAAACCCGTTAAACCTATTAATATATTAAAACAAAAAATTAAAATTTAAAGTTAAGTTATACAAAAAAGAAATAAAACTTACAATTCAATCCATCAAACTAAAAAAATATTCAATTTATATTTATAAAATGTAAAATAACATCCAAAAATCATAATTAAAGAAGTTCATGCTAGTTTTTAGAATACAATTGAACACAATAAAAATCTCATTCATGACAATGGTTCTTAACGGGTTATAAACAGGTTTGTGTAAACGGGTTAACACGATAATATTAACGGGTTAAACATGTTCTTAATAGGTTTAACGGGTTGACCCCGTTAAGACACCAAACATAACGGGTCAATCCGTTAACGACCCGGGACACATTAAGGCTAAACACTAACCCGTTATTTTCGTGTCCGATATCGTGTCGTGTCCATAATTGACAGGTCTAAGTATGGGAGTTACACTCAATGTGGTGAGCTCCTTATGGGCAACAAGCAATGGGTTTTCCCACCTAATGGGTCGCTAAGTCACCGTGATTTACTCCACTGCACTATCATGTCGGGTGGGATGTGGGGCCTTGACAGTGAGAGAATTTTGCCTATTCGTGCATTGGGTAAACCTAGTCTATCTTGTGACCCTAGTTAGCAAAGGATCACAAAATTAACCGGCTCAAACCAAGAAGACCAATAGATCACTTCTACAGCCAGTCGAACTTGTATCATTGTGGTTACCAAATCAACAACCTAACTAACTTAACCCCAAATGTCCTTGTGCTATTCAAACAAGTTTTTTTTTTTCTTTTTACAATTATTTTAAAATTTTAGAAAACAAATAAATTTTGGGAAATTGAAATTACAAAATGTAAACTCCCACTACCAAATTTGCCCTAGGGACTTAGATCGATTTTGGACCCTAAATGTATAAAATATGGGCCAGCAACAGTATTGGGCTTATAAGCCCAATCTAATGGAAGAATGATAGTAATAATTGAATAGCCCAATTGTATATGCAGCCTAGTAGTCAATAGTCCAGGGCCTACCTTGAATGGGCTACACTTGACTTGAGAGCATCTCCAATGAGGATATTTAAAGGCAAATTATTGTAGAGAGTGTATGGACTAGGGTCCAAAATGACTGTCGTTGAATATTATGTGTTAGAATAATGTATATTATATGTTAGAATAATGTGTATTATGTCTTAGAATAATGTATATTACATGTTAGAATAATGAAATTCCTGAGAAATATAATATACATTATGTTTTAGAATAATATACATTATGCTTTAGAATAATGTACATTATGTTTTAGAATAATATACATTATGCTTTAGAATAATGTACATTATGATTTAGATTAATGTATATTATGCTTTAGAATAATGTACATTATGAATTCTAAAAATGTATGTTGCAGTGGATCATGTGAAAAAAATGCACAAAACAACATCATTTTTGGACTGTAGTCCACATAACCGTGTGACCTTCTGAATATGAATCGGTCAATTATGAACAACCTAAATTGATTTATCTCTTACCAATACTATGTGGTCTAATGGTACCCGGGTTGGACTTCCATTTGGAAGATTGTGAGTTTAAGCCTCAGTAAATGTGTTATTGATTCTTTGTGTTTCAATAAGTTGAAAAAGCATATGAACATATCAGATACTACATTGTAATAGAGCCAGTAACATTCAAAATAAAAAAAAAAAATTGATTTATCTCTTTATAATTTGAGTTAGTGCACTATAAAAAGGGTTTACCTCGGGTTGCGGGCTTTTCCTCAAATTTATGTGGTTGGACCACTCTAATATATGATTCACTTACTAATTAATTTGTGTGAGTTGTAAATGTATGTATAACGTGTATGGTGTATCCATTATCCAACCTATACATAACTCAAACTAATTTGTTGTACTGTATTCGTATACAAAATTTATTCCTTAAAAAATTAATATTTGAAACTCCGTCTATTGTAAGAAATGGCAAAACTGCCAAAACATACGATGTCGTTAAACACGAGGAATGACGGCATAAAAATTTAAAAATGACAAAACACACGAAATTGTTAAACACGAGTCATGGCGGCATACAAATTTTAAAATGACAAAACCTATAAAACACTGCAAATCAATCATAGTGTTTATATATTGAATCCAACTTATATTCTATTTTCTTTTGGTTAAAGTGTCATCCCGCACCCTGAACCATTTATGATTATTCATGCCACATCATGATCTTTAATAAGAGAACTTTTTATAGGTTTCTTATAGGTTACCGGTAATAATATTGCTGACATGAAGTATTAATTTTGTTGGTACTTTTCTTCTTTCGCCTTCGTATTATTATTTTTAATATTTTTCTTTTTTCCTAAACGTATAGGCTTGCTCTGCGTCTTTCGCTTCTCGTTTCTCCGAGACCAAACTCCGCAGAGCAGGTCTATACAGAGCAGGCCTGATCGGAGAAACAAGAAGCGAAAAACACAGAGCATGCCTATACGTTTATGAAAAAAATAGAAAAAAAAAATGATACGAAGGCGAAAGAAGAAAAATACCAACAAAAATTAATAACAAATTTCATGTTAGCAATATTACTGGTAACCTATAGGAAACCTGTAAAAAGTTATAGACGAAAAAAAAAATTATGGTTTGTGTCTCTAAATATCACTTATTAAATGTCATGGTGCGGCATGAATAATCATGAATGGTTCATGGTGCGGGATGAAACTTTAACCTTTTTTTTTTTTATTAATCTTTTTATTTTATTTTATTTTATGTGTTAAGTTTAATTAATATATGAAATTTGACTCAAGTTATTTATCAAATTATTATAAACTTTTTCTTTAAATACTCATGATTCTTTAATATATAAAAATTACATATTTAGAAACTATGTCAAACACAAAATGTTAAATTTAAAAATTATTATAAAATTTTAAAGGAAATAAAAAAAGGGAAAATGACACTTTCCCCCCAAGTTATATACTTATAGCACTTTTCCCCCTTGAATTATTCAAGTGGCTATTTTCTCTTCTGAAATGTTAAATGGACATATTTAGCCTTAGAATAAATATTTCATTTATTTTTCTTTTCCAACAAATTATGACCACAATTCTGTTCAAACCGAACAGACACTGTAGCAACTAAATTGAAATATTCCAATTACAATTTAGAATCGAAACTTGATATTTAGAGTTTATTAAAATCGCGAACCGAAACTGCTGGTTCATGTTCCGAACTGAAAAAAATAAAATACATTTATTGCTGAATTTAGACTATTTTAAAAATAGAAATAAAATGTTAAAATAAAGATGATTCAAAATCGCGAACCGGATCCGAAACCGTCGGTTCACGGCTCAGAATCCAGTTTTTTTGATTCATAATTTTAATAAACTGAAATCTAAATATTGTGTTCTAGATCTGAATCATAACCGAAAACTTTCAATTCGATTGCTATAGTGTCCGGTTCAGTTCGAACCGAACCGTGGTCATCCCTACGTATAAGCAATAATTTGTTGGAGAAGAAAAATAAATAAAATGTTAACTTTAAAGGGTAGGAATGTCAATTTAATATATCAAGGGGGAAAATTGTCACTTTTAGAATAATTGAGGGGGCTAATGTGCTTACATAAATAACTCAGTGGAAAAAATGCTATAAGTATATAACTCGGGGGGGGGGGGGGGGGGGGGGGGGAAGTGCCATTTTCTCATAAAGAAATGAAGAAGTTTTGATTTTACCAATAAATAGTAAGACATGTAAAATGAATAGATTGATTGAGTGAGTACACATTTTTTTGGATGACAAGGAAACTTGTAACCACTAACCACTTACTACCCCCAATATATTCATTGGGTAATAACTCATAAATCACACATGAAAAGTAAATCTCACTATAAAGACTTTGTACGACGAGTTCAATTGAGAGGGTTTTAGTAATAATAAACTCGTAACATTTTGATACAAAAATCATACTTCTTCACATATTTCGCCACACCTTTTAGGGCACTAAGTGAGTATATGTTAACTTATGTGTTTTGAATAAACGTTTTTCTTTTATGCGATTATGAATTTTCTGTTATGAGATTATGAATTTATAGTACATTCATAATCTCATAACAGAAAATTCATAATCTAACCAAATGCGCACCGTTAACACCACATTAGTTAAAATTTTTTTTTTTGTAAAAATGGCACCTATTGAACTCGTGTTCACTATTCATGGTGAACACGTTTCCATGGCATAATTTGCTTAGGCAAAGGGCACAAATGAAATTACAAGGCGGTCCAATCGGGCCCCACAATGCCACCACCAAAGTAAAGAAACTTTTACTGCCTCCATTCACATTTCACAATCTGATCCAATCTACTCTTCCAGTAATCCAGTGGTCTTCGCTTGCTTAATTCGAGCTCTTCAATGAAGTGTCACAGCCAATATAATATTTCTGATTCGCCGCCACGCCCCCATATTCATACTTCAATAAACAATTTCTCTTCTTCTCCTTTTCATCTTTAACCTGTTTGGCAATTTTTCGGACATGGAGGTATTGGAAAAGCTGGGTATGATAGATTGGGAGCAGGAATCATACCCAAGATACGAGGATTTCGTGGTTCTTCCCTTGTTCGCGCTGTTCTTCCCCACTGTCAGATTCTTGCTCGATAGATTCGTGTTTGAGGTGCTCATCTTTTGCTCTTTTCTTGTACATTATAATGTTTTTTTTTTTCTTCTTCTTCTTTTTAGAGTACTTGGATTAGTTGCAGAAGTTTGTGGAAAAAAACATGGGAATT